TTTTTTTTTTTTTTTTTTTGTAATACACATTCTTGTTAAAATAATATTTTGTGTCTCTTGATTAATCGGTTATTTTTAGGACTTCAAATGAATCGGTATATGGCTATGTACATGACTACTGCAAGACAACAACCTTACGCAGACTTTAACGAGCCGATAACCATGCACATAGCTCATCCAAGCGAGTGGAGTCTACCGAAAGACGTTAGGGTACAGACTAATCCAAAACAAGTCGAACGACCAAGGATGATCTGTATACCATCCATTGAGCCTTCTTCAAGTTCTAGGAAATCATCATTTTGTACACGTTCTAATGAACGTGGGCATTACTTCACGACATGTTATTTTGTTCTTCTTCAAGTTGATCTCTCAACTATCGCTTTATCGTCAGGAAGAAGAGTTCGTAGGTGTGCTATATGTAGACAACCCGGTCATACTAGACGCACTTGCACACAAGTGTAATTTAATCATCGTAAATGAATGCTTTTTTTTGTGGCAAAACATAATTGGGATGTTAGTATGAATGATTTGTGTGTGGTTAATAACATTGTGGGACAAATTTTTGTGTGTGTTTTGTTATGTTGTTAATGTAATAATCGTTTTAAAGTTTAATTATTTGTTTTTTATATTTTTGTAACACTCTAAGTGTAGTCGTGCCTGAACTCCGTAGCATCGTAAAGGCACTAAAAATGCCCAGATGTGTGTGTGTCGTTCTAGGACACCACGATGTTGAACCGCCCTGTATTTCCAGTTAAAAAAATAATAATAATATTCGACTCGCGGAGAAGAACAGAGACTCCCAGGATTTCCAAGCTTCCCCAGGTTCGCCACTAGCGGGAAAATTCGCGACTGGCGAAAGTACCCGAGAGTCGCGGAATAAGTCGCGACTCGCAGCGAAGAGCATAGTCCTTATGCACTTCCAAGCTCACCGCAGGAAACGTCGCGACTCGCGACAGTCACATTAAGTTCTGGCAAAATGGCGGAAATTAACACGACCTTTACGTGTTTGGCATTTTAATCACGACTTTTAGACCTTGGCAAATAAATATATGACCTTTACATTTTTGGCAAAATGGTACATGCTTTTAACGGCCGTTAACGGAAATCTGACGTGGCGACCAGGTGTATCCGAGTCAGCGATCAGGTGGCAAATTGTGACACGTGGCAGAATTACATAATTGCAAAATAATGCAAAAGGGAGGATTTGAACCTAGTACCTCATATATATAACAAGTGGTTATGAACCACTTGACCTAACACAACTTATGTTAAATATCTGACTTCATTTATATATATACAAACATCATTTTATTATATATTATACTAAATATATAATATATAATTATACTAAATATATAATATATATTATATTAA